GTCCACTGCTCCATTCTACGCTTTACTATCTGCATAGCTAATCTGTATAGAACTGAAGTTACTGTTATCGGGCGACATGACTTCATGCTGTCTTTGTTTCCTTTGCCTTTATAGTCTCATTTTACTTAGTTTCCGTTTTCGAAACAAAATGGCATCTCTCGCTGGTGAGTAGTCCACAGTGCTGTAGTCCTAGCGTTGCAGCAGACAAATCAACGGAGAATCGAGATGTTTGCATCAGTCACTCGAATCAGCCGCGAAAAGAATGGACTCGTAATTTTAATGGGCTTTGCACCGGTGTTTATTATTCCGGGCGCCACAGCCCAAAGCTCGCTGCCTTTTTAGTCTTTGCCCATAGAATGTCAGAACCCGCCCCCCGATCGACCGAAGTGTCAGCTTTTGTACCCACTAAGACAGTCGCGTGAACTATTGAAAGCTTTGGACACCGTGCGAGACCACGACGACCGCCGCTCCGTCGTCCGCGCCAGCGTCAGGCATTGTCTCCCGGTCCGTGTGTTTACGTGTGTCCCCTGGTGGCGTTGTTCCGTCTTTCATCATTCTGAACGTGTCTTTCTGCCGTCATTTCGCGTTCATCTTCGAAATGGCTGAGGACGACCCTGGAAAATTAACGAAAGCCACTGTCTACAATACAGATGACCTGGTTCATTTTTACACCTTCAAAGATGGAATGTCGACGCCCCATTGGTTCCTGTCATCGACTTCGGTGTCGCGTCGTGCAAGCAACTGAAAAAGGGGTTGGCTTTGAAGGCGGACTCGCAGAGTGTTATGTGAGGAAATTTAACGGTGACCGGTTTTGATCCCGACCCAACCGTCCACCTTGTACGGGGCTTGTGAGCTCCGTGTATAAGCAGTGCTTAAAGCCTCCCATAAGCTGAGGGGGGGTCCCTACAAGAAGGGGGGGGGGTTGACGAGATGTATTAGATGCACATAAAACAAACCCCATTGCTGACTCTGCCCACGCTGTACCTGCAACCCTCAAATTGCTAATCCCTAAATGTCACACCCTTTGAACAAGCTAGTTTATCGCAAGATATGATTTTGATTTCACTAATGCTGGGGCTGTGGAGGGGTGTCTCAGACCATCCGTTAAAATCAGTAGGGGGTCCAGACCCCCTGAGACCCCCCAGACTTTAAGCCCTGGCCTGGACACTACGAACAGCTGATTCTGCTCTCCTTGATCGCCTAAGGTATTCAAGCTTGTTGTGTTCCGTCGCTCCGCCATCCTGTGTACTGAGCGAGTGCACGGGACATTGCCGTACCCGAGAATGTGTAAACAAACTCGGACGGTATGAAATTCGGGCGATCTTGATATCGTGAAGGCTTGCCTGCTCTGACAAAAAGTTGGGAATGATACTACAGTGGCATACCAACTTGTTTCTGAGAGGGGGGGGGGGGGGGGGGGGGGGGGGGGGCAAAACAGACACCCCCACACCCAGGGCCGGGGATGGTGTCCTTGGTGCTTGGGCACTGCCGGCCAGCGTTTGCCCTGCCCAGTGGCGGCTGTTTCAAGGGGCTCCGTCGGCTTCGGAAAGATCTTCGGACAGTAGCTGCAACCGCCGTGATACAGCGATGCTGCAGTCATCGGATTTGGAAGGAATGCGGAAAAACGCCGATCAAAAGCTGCAGGATCTCGCGTCGAAGGCAGCGACGAAGCGAAAGTCGATTTTATTGGCCGACATGAAAGATAATGCGGACGGCTCACTCCCCGAGACAGACGAAGCGAGCTTCACTGTCGTGAATTTGGACTCTCTGAACGCCTCGATGAAGTCCGTGAAGTGCAAAGTATGCGGCGGGTGACATGAAAATTGGCAAAGGCAAGCGCGAGTATGGGATTGCCGTCAAGTTATTCCTCACGTGCACGAACTGCAGCGGCATTTCGTCGGCGTGGAGTTAGCCGCGTGTGAACGGTGACGAGAGAATCAACCCATTTGCCGTAAACATCCTTGCTGCGTACGCGATGCAAAGCACTGGGAACCGTCAAACGGCCCTAAACGACGTGTTCTCGGTGATGAACATCTCGCACCACGGCCTGCACACAAAAACCTGGCAAAACTATATGAAGAAGCTAGCGCCTGCGTTGGCTTGTGCTGCCAAGGAACTGACGATTGAGTGCACACAATCAGTTCGGGGGCTCTACAGAGAGTTGGACCTGGGTAACCCCGGCAACATCGCTGTGTCGTACGACGGGTCTTGGGTGACGCGCGGACACTCGTCGCACAATGGCGTCGGCAGTGCGATAGAGCTGTTTACAGCTTGTCCTAGGCTATGTCGTGCTCAGCAATTTTCGCGCTGCCTGCGAGCAAGGGCCGAAGCGACCCTTCCTACCAAGCTTGGAAAGACAGCCACATATGCCAAAAAACTACTGACAAGAAGGCTGGGGAAATGGAGGCCTCATTCTGTTCGAGAGGTCATGGCAACGCCACAACCTCCGCTACACAACTGTGCTTTCCTTGCATTGCAAGAAGCTCAGGTCTACGGCTCCATCGCCGTGAACAAGGAGGACTGTGCGAACCAGAAGCGCACCGCTTTACAGACCCTCATTACCAAGCAGAAGTCCAGCTCGGAGAACCTTGGGGGGAAAGGAAGCCTCGCTGCACACCTCATCACCCAATTGAGCGCCTACTACGGCACTCAAATCACACAAAGGGGATGTGGAGGCCATGTAGAGGGCTGTGATGGCCACGTATCGTCATGTAACATCGTACGACACAGTGTCAAACCACAGCCTCTGCCCAGCAGGCCTGGACTCCTGGAGCTGAGCCTGGCCTTAAGCACCATTACAACCCTTATGTCTGCAAGGCCCCTCTCTACGAGCGCCTCTCAGAAAGGAAGCTTCTTGAACGGTGCCAGTGTGGGAAAACCCAGAACACCAGATCTACGATATGGGCTCTTGCACCAAAACGCTGCCACGCATCACTCTTCAGCGTCGAGGCCGCTGTGGCCGAAACAGCGTTGAAGAAGCAGGGAACGCCTCAGCAAGACTCCCGAGGGAACTCAATGTGACTCCTGGCCCACAGAGCTCCAAGCGCATGGGGGAGAAGCACAAGCTTCGAGCGACAGCATCTGCACGTCGACGGACAACGGGCCCTCAAAAAGCGCCAGTCGGGTGCCAGCAATCAAGCTGACTACATTCCTGGTGCCTCCTAGGTATTGGGCAGGTGCCAGCAGTCAAACTGCCTATATTCCTGGTGCCTGTGAGGCATTGGGCAGTCTAATAAATATGTACATATTTCTTCCTCATTTTCTCAAAACACAAACTTTGGACTCTTTGCAAATTTGGAACAAAGATATCTCAGTATCTAAGGGAAGTAGAACCATACCATATTCAGTGACTTGTAGGTAGATGTATGAAGCATACTATGTTGGAAGCAAGTTTTTGAGTTTAGGCAAACACTTTTTTAATTGCCCTATTGTTTACCTCTCTCCAACCACAGAATAAATGCTGAACTCCCACGTGTTCTAAAATGGCTCATAATGGCCTAATTTGAAAAGTACTTCCAACATTGTATTCTTTAAACTCTGTAGTATCTAACCACATGCTATTAGTACTTTCTGTCGAAAAAAAAATCTTTTTTTCCCAACAATGGCTAAAGATTTCTAGTTATCTTGAGAAGTAATTGACTTACTGAGAAAACGACCAGATATTTGAAATCAGCACCATCAACCAAAATCGTGCAGACTGAGTGGACTTGCGAGAGAATGTGTGCGTACGAGAACAGTGACTGGCTACATCCATGCGAGGATGGTGTGGAACCACACATTCCCCGTCTCCTTATCTAGACCCAGCACATGCAGGCCATGAGGACTGCCATGGCGTTTCCCTCGTCCTTTTGGGTGCATGGTATGCGAATGACCGTGGGTGCGACCCATCTCTGGGCTAAGCCCCCTCATCCATTTCCTGCAGGCTATATAAGGCGGCCCCCAAAACAAGGTAAGGAAGACCCTCACTGGGGGAGGTCATCAAAGCCTTTCTTTTTGCAGCTTCCCACCAATCTGCCTAAGATGGCAGAGAGAGCCCCTTGAGGGGAACCTGCCTAAGAAGGCAGCGCCGACCCTTTTAGTTTCTCTTTCTTTGTGCGCCGAGGGGCAAGACGTGCTGGCGTCAATAAACACATCATCTTAGGGTCCCACAGGCATCCTGTGTTTCTATGTGGTACCCTCACAAAGGGGAAACCCACAGTGGGTATACTGGGAATAAGCCCAGTGGAGAGCGACCCAGAACAATAAAGCCCTCCTTTGAATCGTACACGTGTTGCCCTTCAAATATAAGACCTGATCATTGTAACCTAGGTGGCTGGAAAAGACATCCAGTGCTTAGTTGGCTACTGCTGCTATTCTCATGGACTGTTGCTCAAGATTCATACCCATTCGATTGGGCATTGAAATTCACCTCATTTATGTCTCACTTTCTACATTCATATTGTGGATTTCTGGTGAACATTGACAATGAAGCTTTCTTCTATTACCAGTACATTAGTTTACGTACCAAATTTTGAGCTCTTTCGTCCAGCAGGGTTGGGCTGTTCCTAGACTAGCCCGGGAGAACGCAGCTTTCAACACCCCAAATTTACTTGCGGTCTGTGGCAAGAAAAACTGGAAGCGAAATTACGTCTGCCACCACGTCGACATTGGACGGTTCAAACGTGATCAGGCACCCTGCAGAGAAGAACGTCCCTACAAATGGGTTCCGTCTCCAGTGTGTTCCTGCCCTTTTTACCTTCTGCTCGGCAAGAAAGAAATGCTAACAAATCCACTGAATCCAAATATTTCTAGAGAACATGTTCCAGTTTGCATATTGATGCAGAATCAAATTGGGAATGCAATATTGCTGCTGGTGTAGAAAAAAATTAATGGTAACCATAATATTCAATTAGCCCTGGCTTCGCTCCAAAATAAAAATTTGGCGATTTTTTCCTCCGATAAAAGTTTTTACCCCGTTGCGGAGTTTGGCCTTGGCAGTCGTAAACAAGAAAAAACAATCAAAAGTCAAACTGTGCACCTTTATTTTGAGAACATTTATTCGAGCGAATGCAATAAAAGGAAAATGAATGGCAAATGGCCCAATGTTGAAAGGCAGCGGTCCAGTTTTGATCAACTCGAACCAAAACCACGTAAATTGCAGTTTTATAAAATCTAGACAGACTGTTACAAGAGCGCATGAACCAAATTGTTTACCCCTTTTTTGTTTTGTCGGGTAGTTTGCTTTGGAAGCTGTAGGACCAAAGAAGCCGCAAAAATAATTCTGTTTATACCAAAAATAATTTGGTTCAGTATTTCGCAACAAAGCTGTCCTCCAGCGACGGAAGCACCACGAGATTCCTTGAAAATCTGCATCAACAGAAAGCAAAAACATGTCAAATTTTGTTTCGTCCGGTAAAAGTACAGCTGTCAAAACTGTAAAGCAACGGTCAAGTAAACAGCCAAGGAAACTCAACTCGTCCAGATGAAATCAAGAGAAAGTGGGCCCCCTCACTGCCGAGTGTCTTTACGAAATGTGCCGCGTCTTCTCCTTTGGTTCCAAGTGGCGCCCAAAGCAGATACAGTCCAACCCGTCCATAGCGAACAGCAGGAAACGCTACCATCAGTTCGATAGAGCAAAAACCATTTACAACAAACTTCTACAATGCGTTCGTTATACACGGGTCATATCGCCAAAAGTAAACAAATAAATTCGTGCCACTTACCACTCAAGAAATTCATTTATTAAATTTTTTGCGCATGCGTGCACATTTCTTTTTAGCTTATCTCCCGGGTCTGAATCGCTTCTCTTCGTAAGCAGCCGCTTGGCGCCCAATTTTTGTTTTCTGTGCCCCTCTGGAATCGTTTTTCTTCGTTCATTTCTGTTTCCAATTTGAGCTTTTGAAATTTTCATTCTTTCTACTTTCTTTTTTTTTGGGGGGGGGGGGAGGGGGGTGGGAAGGGACTGGCTAGAAGACGACTGTTTGCGCGTTTTTGGAATCCTCCCCAGAAGGAAAAAGTTTGATATAGCCAATATGTTGTTCGTTATAAAAAGTACCTTTTACGCGCATTTTTATTTAAATTTTTTGCGAGTTCGATATTGACAATAATTCGCTGTACGTGGGTTCGTTCTAAATGAGTTTCACTGTAATGCTGGGGAGAGTTTGGCAGCTGCGTCCCGCATCAACAAACCATTGGCATGTGACGCCGTCAATAAAAGTCCCATGCCCTTTTTCACGCAAGAATTGCCGATTCTACGGCCTCCCAGCAATGTCTTACTATGTCAGTGGCCTGAACAAAATTAAGGAGGCTCGTTACATCACAAAATGTAAATAATCTGCGGCAACTCATTCTGCGTACACGTCGCAAAACGGACGCTAAAGCACGATCCACACGATGAGATTCTGCTCGCTATTTCTGAGTCGCGACGTGGGCTGCGATACTCGATGTCCATACAGAAAATCGCAAGCAGAATCGGACCGAGTGCATCCGGCATAACAAGTCAGTCATGGCCACTGCTAACGATTATCAACATCTCCTTGTATTACTGTTTACATCGAACCTACTTATCCCGAGCAACCCTCAAACTTAAAGGGATGCTGAACCGAAATTTTGGGTGGAAATTCTTGGTCGCAATGGCATACATAGCATGTCCTTTACTTTTAAATGATGTTGTTTTGAGCGAGAAGGCGTATAAAATTTAATAAACACGAAAAATACAATTTTACGCGACCCCTGGTGAGCGTCGTGGAAAGCTCGCTTCGTGACGTGCGCATTCTCATTCGCCTCAAAAGACAGACGGAGCCAAGCCAAGCCAGGCGCTAAGCCGGGTGGCGTTTGTTATTGTTAGTACCACGCGGGCTCTGCCCGCGTGGTACTAGTACCAGCCGCTTTGAGAACAGCCGCCGAAAGAAGAATCAAGGCGAGCACCACTGAACAAGGAGAATGCGCGGAGGCACCAGGGGCGCTGAGGGCGCCGAGAATGCGCACGTCAGTTCCGCTACGCCTGCTCTCAGAAGGACTCCCTCGCGCCGGCGGCTTCCGGCCGAGGATTCGCTCTTAATTCAAAGAAATACAATAATTCGGGCCCCACCCGTCTGATTGAATATCATTTTTAGGTACAGTACCATCCCGTGAAGCCCGCTCGGGCAATAATTATGAGATTTCAAATATCGGTTCAGCATCCCTTTAAAGGACCACTAATGTGCTTTTCGAAATTCTCGTTTTATTGTTTACTCAATCTACGAGTGCTAACCATCTAAAAAAAAATAAAAAATTACTTTCATGCACGGCCAATTTGTGTATTAAAAAAGTGATCAACGTTCCCGACACTTATTGTCAACGCACAAGGACAGATGGCGCTACCAAACCTCCCCGAATATGGTTGAACGACGGAAGGCACGTGTCCAAAAGGCCTCACTCCTTGAAGGCGGCGACCGTGTCCTCCACCTTGGACGGGTGGCAGCAGATGGCCAGCTTGGAGGTGGCCGGGTCAAAGAGTGGGCGTAGGTACTGCCTGCCCACCCGGAGCAGGTCGCTCAGGCTCACCGCCGCCACCCGCTCCAGCAGCAGCCTGGGACAACCGCCAGGCACGGCTCACGCATGCCCCGGGGCGGCCGTTCCCCGCTGGCAACAAATCCCCATCCGGCAAAAACTAGGAGCAATGCCAATGTTGCTGGCCTCGCTGGGTACCAAATCGCGGCTGCCCACGGTCCGAGGACACCGAGCAATTGGCGGCCTCGTGCGGCCATGCGGTGGGCAAGGAGGGTGAGCGACCTTGGCATTTCACCTTGAAGTTTCGAGAGGCCTTTCCGTCGGCTGCACGACTGTTTGTCGTAAGACAATTTGTAGCGGGGCAGTTCGTCACGTGAGGCATCTCGTCGTACGGCAATTTGTCGCGACGACAGTTTGCCAGACTTGAAAGAACTTAGTTTCTCCGTGCCCTTCTTCTAGTGCCGAACATTTCGTCCAAAATAAAAAACCTCGGGTGAGGCCCTACTCACATAAATGTTTGGAGTCTCTTATAATAGCTCGTTGAATCGCTGTTACTTTAGCAATAGACATGGTCTGGTTTCCTGGGACTCAAACACAACTTGGGTACGAGTCGTCTCAGTAACTAATCGAAAAAAAGCGGCAAATATGCGCCTCTGTCAAACCAAACTTATCTAGAAATAGTCACTCTACCCTATAGATATGTCTACTGTGGGTTTCCCTTTTGGGGACTACCACTTAGAAACACAGAGGGTTCCCTGGGTCCGAATAAAAACGTGTTTATTTGACTCAGATGCCACCCGCTTGCCCGAGGGCCAACAATGTCAAAAATAACGGCGCTGTCTCTTTTGACAGGATCGCCACTGGGAGACCGCACTGCCGCTATTGACAGTATCACGGATGGGAAGGATGCATCCAAGATCTCCAGGGGTGTGCCTTAGGCAAATCACCCGAGAAGGGCGAGGGAGAGCCACTGCGAGGGAATACAGCCTCGCCTCCGGGACGCACCCCGACCTGGCGATGCCCCACGGCCTGCATGACCTAGGCCTAGATATCGACGCGGGGAACACGTGGTTCCCACACTACTCACAGTGAAATGTTTCGGGTGCACGTCGGTTGTGCATCGCCGGATATCTAGATGTTCCTAAAGTTGCTCGAGATAAAGCACACACTAGCCAAAATGAAGTTAAGCCAAGCTGCAAGCAGAGTCATCGCGACAAGAGTGTTGAGGAAGCAAAAAGTGCCCTCGAGCAATTCTTCAAAGCTACGATGGAACTGACAGCACAGACAACCTCGAGGCGTGCACCCGAAATATTTCACTATGAGTACAAGCATCTACAGGGTAGAGCGACCACCTCTAAATAAATTTGTTTCGACAAACTTGCACATTTTCCGCCATCTGCCAATCAGTGACCGGGACGACTCCTACCCAGATTGTGTGGGGAGTATTGGGAAACCAGTCAGCATCTATTGCGGATATAACATAGATTCAACCAGCCATTATAAGAGACTCCAAACATTTGCGTCAATATGACCTCACCCGAGGTTTTTCGTTTTGGAGCAATATGTTAGGCACTAGAAAAATGGCACGGAGAAACAAAATTTTTTTAAGTCTAATGGACTGTCACTGCAACAAATTGCCCTGTGACGAAAGGCCCTTTGTCACGAACTGCCCTGCTACCAATTGACCTGCTACGAAATGTCTTTCGACGAACGGACCGTTGCCCCTTGTCGCGAAAGGTGGTTCGCCATTCTGAGACGCCACTGCAGCCGATTCCATCTCGAGCGCTGTTCGCACAAACATGCGGTGCGCACGAATATTGCTGGGTGGTGCTCCTATTCGAAAAAAAATCGCCTACTTATTCTACCCATCTTCGGTTCGTGAAACTCGGATTACATTGTCTCTCGAGCAACTTAGTAAACTGCAACTACGGTATGTCTTCCGCGAGTAGTAGCCAATGCTGCAATTTAATAGATTTCCCACGGGCTCAAAAGAAGATGACAGAACATGGTGTGATACGAATGTGATGTTTAGAGAAAAAAAACGCTAGAGTGAGCAAATTTTAGACATTGCGAAAGCCCGATATAAAAGGCTTCGTGCGAGTTTTGCTCAATTTTTTTACTTCCGCACCTCACACTTTTGCGATGTCAATTAATCTTTCCCTCTAGCTACCAATATCACAGTCTCGAGTAGGAACGAAAGCAAAAATGGGCCCATGCCACGAGGACCACACGCCAGGAAGGATAAAGACTAGGGTTACGCAAATATTCAAATTTTCTAAAAGTAGCCTCGAACAACACGCTATTCGATATTTGCCTCACAATGAGCCGCGATATTCCCAACGTTCAAAGCGTCAATTGCGGCGAGCTAGCCCCGTCGAGTGTTCTTCTCAGCGAGCACCGATGCACTGCAGGGAGGCAATGCTTGCGGGGCTCGCTTTGCTGCAGCGCAACCGCGAGCTCGAGAGAAAAGCGCACCTTCAAAGTGGGACAGTGCACACACGGGTCTGGGGAATTTAGAAAGGAACAAAAACTCCCGGAGTGTTAATATCTAAGGACAGAACGAGCGGGTTGGTACGGACAATTAAACTTGAGAAAGAAAACGAGAAGGGACGGACAAACACAAACTGGAAGTTTGTGTTTGTCCGTCCCTTCTCGTTTTCTTCCTCAAGTTTAGCTAATATCTATGTGGCGGTATATTTTTTGAAAATTAAGTGGTGCCTTTTATGCAAAAGCAGATGTTAGGCAGCAATGTCCGAACAACCTGCGTCTATCATTCGTGCTTGTTATTTTTCTTTAAATTTGAGATCGAAGAAATTATATGCACGTAGCGAGCAGATCCATAAATACCCTCGATCAGGTGAGCTGGGTGTCTCTATAGGTTGAATTTTACGTCCAATCCCTTATTTCCAGCCCAATGCAAGCACTGGACTTTTTGATGCCACAGTTCCTAAAGAGAGTAAAATTAAAATCAACCGAGCTGAGAAGTGGACAAGCGGAGGGTTGGGAATAATTTTCGCGAGTGGGTACAATATTTGCTTAAGCAGGGCCTAGCGGTAGCGAAATGCTCGGAGAAACTATTTAGCCTAAACCGCTACTTGCTCCGAATTCAAAGTCCAAAATGACAATCTGCACACGTCTAGCAGGGACCGTTCTTTGGTCGAGGTAAGGGCAGAGGCAAAAGAGGTTTAGGCGGGCCCACCTGGTGTGGCTCATGTCGATGCCCCGGTGGTAGGCCAGCAGGGACTGGAGGGCCACCTCGTTGACCGACTTCTCCTTCTCGACCACCTCGAACATGAGGCTGCTGCGGCTGGACTCGAGCAGCTCCTCGTCCCACTCCTCGTCCCCGCTCAGGTGCCGCTCCTGGGGGACCCACCGGGGGCTCCAGCCTCGCTCGGGGCATGCCCTCGTTACGGGGCCACCCCAGTTAAGTGCGGTCCGTCTTAACCGAGGTCAAGGGCGTCCGACAAGCATCCCCAACCGCAGCTACGCTTAAGTACGATTGGCAGCTACTGCCAGCTACCCCGCAGTTACATGGGCACCCTTAACCGCAATCCGACCTCGGTCACCTTTGACTGTGGTCAAGGGTGCCCGCGTAACTAGAGTATAAGATAATGCCAGTGGTAGGCGGCGATGGGAATCGGCTGCCAGACGCCGGCTAAACTAGCCCCACCTCCTGACCGAGATTTGTTACTTGTCTCCCAAGTCGCTCGTAGCGACTAAGCCTCTCCCTAAACACGGCCGGTAAATACCGAGCGCTTACTTAGTCGCCATTACCACGTGATCGTTTAGGCTGACAACATAGTTGGGGGTTAAATGAGCGCTAGTCACGTCCGGCGAACACAGCCAGTAGTATACGCCGGCGCTTCTCACCATTTCCAGCCCTCGACACTGGGCCGTGCAATGCAAGTGCAAGGTATGCACGCTCAAACGCGTTCCACGGCTCGGTAGACAAAGATAGCAGCATGCAGAAGGCAATTATTTATAGTCTGTGGACCACAGACCGAAAAATACAATAGGTACTTTTCGCAAGTAGAATGACTCGTCGTCCGGACAGCGCAAACAATTGCGAATGGCCAAAGCGGCTTTTGGATTGAGAAGCAAAGTCGTGGCCCCGGACCGAGGTTCGCTTTTCCTCCCGGTGCAAACACGCGCTAACTAAAAGGCAAAGGACGACAACGCGGCCGTCGAAGCGTCGGAGCGAATGCCATTTTTTCCCGGGTGCTCCGCCGCGTCCGCCCCCAGAGCGACTGCACTCACGACGATTTGCAGGGCCTCCCCGTAGGCGGCCGCCACCAGGCTGGACTTGGTGAGGCAGAAGTAGAGCAGGCCGTCGCAGGGCCGCACAAACAGGTTGTAGTTGTAGGACAGGCCCTGCCCCCGGATCTGCCGCCACATCGGGCCCTGCACGGGGCAACACCGCACCCAACACCATTCGCTCTCCACCCGAGAAAACAAAAAGCACCTCAATCTTACGGATCGAGTCGGGAGACACAAAATGTGCGGCGTGTTTCGAGCGCTCCCCAAGTTGAGATGATCCCACGAGCGCGTCCAGCGTAAAAAAAAAAGATGAGCGGGCACTCTACGTGTTTCCGGGCATCGTGAAAGCGGAACGAGACGAAGCTTCAGATGCCTCTCGCTCGGACACGTGCCGCGCTCGTGTGGACTGATCTCGTTCGCATTTGGAGACTAGAAAGGGAAGCCTGAAGAGTATGAGGATCATCTGTGCGCCTCCTTTTGGCTAACTCAGATTTTCTCTGAAGCTGTAAGTGAGTACAAAGATTTTAATTTTGGAGACTAGGTGCCAAATCAACCAAAGCATGCGTCATGCCTGTAGGCATGCGTGAATAGGGAGTTTTGACTTTGAAGCAAATAGAGGTTTCGGTTCCACATTTTCTAGTTGAATATCGAATAGCTTCTCCGAGCCTTTCACTAATAAAAGAAAACCCAGCTGAACTTGTGAAGGTTGTTCCTGAGCTTCCACTAGGCCAGCTTTAATCAGCTTGATTTTTGACCTGCAACCTCAAAAAGTCCAATGCCCACATTGGGATGGCAAGTAAATGACACATTTGACATAAAAATAACCTATAGAGATGCCCAGCTATAATAGAGGATATTTGGAAACCTTCTTGCTTTATAAAAATCTCCTTCAATCTCGAATTTGAAAAGACAATCACGAATGATTAATGCGGGTTGTCGGGGCATGCTAACATAGACTCTCGCGTAATACCCAAAGCTTAGTTTTGAGAATTTTACTGCAATGCAGATGTCAACATTCACAAAGTTTCCGTTTCTTTTTTATTTAAATACATCAGGCACGCACGTGCATCGTCTCGCTTTGAAAGCCTACTTTTCCCCTAAGCACGCTACTGCGATATTCCTATTTTTCAAAGTTCCGATCGCGGCAGGTTTGCCCCGCTGAGCGCGCTTCTTAAGGCCCTGTCACACTGAGACAACAGTTGGACAACTCTATCCGGCAACACGAGGAAATCGTGTTGCTGGGGGCCCTTTCACATTGCAGCAACAACAGTCGGGCAACATGCTGCTGCCGCCCGGCTAGTGTTGTCGTCGCACTGACAGTGGGAACAACACGGGGAACACTCCGCCATCTTGATTGTTTACCTTCGTTTGTGTGCGTATGACTCTAGAAGTGCTAGTGCGTTCGAAGGGCCAGAAATTACCACGGGACGACATTAACTAGCGACTAATTAGAAAACTTGACATGGGAAGTATTTTCTATTTTTTTATTTTATCAAAATACTCTTCATTCGCTGACAAAGCAGATAGCCCTAATCAAGGAAATTGAGATGGCTGATACATGTTCAGGTTTTACGTTACCCGGTATGAAGTGTTTCTGTCCGGTTCTTTCATGCAATTCCTATTTCTCCCCTAAAATTGAGTAAGCACTGGCAGTACCCCAGGGCGTCTTTTGTAACGTGATGTTAACTGACAGCGTTTGAAAACTGCAACACCAACACAATCGGCCTTCGTAACAATCGGTAGAATGAAATTTTCCAACGCTGTCGATTTGCCCATTGCCTGCTATGCGAGCGCTTCATTCCCCAAAACATCCTGGGTATTTTTGAAACAAATCAAGTGTCCGGTAGCGGCTGTTTCCAAGTTCCAAGCATCAACAATCATGATCAGAGTAATTGTTTTAATGCTTCGATTTTTTAATATTTTCTTTTCTGGATTATGTTTATTACACTTTATCGGAGGGTGAGTAGGCATGCCATTTTATCTCACTGGCAGAATTCTCAGCTGGTCTCTCGGCAGTTCATATTTCAACACCAGACTGAACGTTCACGACCCTAGCTGCGACCATTCCGACAATCGCCTTCCGTAATTATGCGGTAAAACATTCGTCACCTTATTTTAGCTGCACGCCAGCCTCAATTATCGTTAAATAATGTTTTCCAAGCCTTTATTCGAGACGTTATTGATAAGAACTAGCTCTGCCATCGAAGCTAACTGGTTGTCGTGTTGCCGACCCAAAATTCGCTCAGCCAGCGATTGGGGCAACACACATTGTCCAACAAAAGTTGCTGCTGTTTTTGTTGCCGAAAGCTGTCATACCGAGGAGAGATTTTAGTTGTTGTCCACGTTGTACTGCTGTTGTCGTGATGCGACAGGTTTGTCGGACAACACGGGGAGCGAGCAACAAGTTGCCCGACTGTTGGACGTGTTGTGTTGCTGTTGCCTCAGTGTGACAGGGCCTTTACCGAGCACCAGTGCACTGTGAAGAAGCAACACCCGCGGGTGTTGCTTCTCCGCGGTGCACCGGTGCTCGGTAAGAAGCGCGCTCAACGGGGCCAACCTGCCGCAATCGGCGCTTCGAAAAATAGCAATATCGCAGTTCATCTCAAAGTGAATATCCACTATCGTATTCGCTAATTCCTACGCTTAGCAAAGGACTGATGAATGATATCGACCATCAAGGTCTGTTTTCTCGAAGCACTCGATTATCCTTAACCGTGGCTTAGTAGTGACTTGTAGTCCCTGGTAGCTAAAGTATTTAGTGAATTTCGATGAACCACTAGAATGCACAGCAGTTTGCATCAGCTAGAGATTAGAAGAATAATTACCAGCGTACAACTATTGTCACAAACGACAATTCACAAAATGGTGGATAACTAAGAAAACCGAAGGTTTAGTGCGGTAAACTTGCTCCACAACAAAACAGAGTGCAATAACTGCAGCTATAGACATTGATGTGAGCGTGACAGTAGCATCGAACGCCAGCGGACGACTGACCCGGAGCAACAGGCTATGGCTGCTTTTATATGCAGTCTATGTTCAGGAAGCTTCCGAACCCGAACGTGCGATAAATGCCGAGAATGAACTGCAACTTTCCAGAACCTCAAAAATAGTTGAAAAGCTAAATTCAAAATTGACTAGCGGGCCCACTTGGTTGTGCACAATGAAAAAAAAACAAAAAAACTTGCAGCACAAAAGAACAATGAGAATTGGGGATGTTTGCCCTTGGTCTCTCTGCACTCCAGGTTCAATATGCCTTCAGAAATGTCGACGGGTCTAGTCCTCCTAAAAGCTAAACACGCGAAAGTTGACACTCAGTTCATCAACAACTTTCAAACTTCATTCTTGGATAATGCACAAAAGCTCAGGCCCACCGATGGGGTACTACCAGAAGTTTACTTCCAAAAAGACAGAGAGTGCCGTTCTAAGTTCTAAGCATGTTTTAAGACAATGCTGCTCCAGTACAAATGTCTTCTAGCTCATCCAAAGGGGTGATCGTCCTTCGAAAGGTCTCTCGTCGAGGGTGTCAGAAATCGCTAAACATCTCGTTAAAACTTAACTAAGAACGGGACACAAACACTCGTGAGAGATGCCGACCAGCCGTTGGGCCCAACAGCCACCGAATCTCTCGCCATCTTAGGAGGGTGGCTTCCAGGTTTGATCTGGTGCTCTCTGCACCCAAGGAGCTCAAAAGACTTTTCCCCAAGATTAATTCGTTGACTCGCAGCACAGAAACCGCTGGACTTTGCCGCTAAGTGTTTTTACGGAGTACCGTAGAATACCGCGCATCCGCCCATTCCACACTAAGTGCCCATTCCCAAATTTCCAAGACCTGAGAAAATATGCGCGGTAGATTGATACGTAAAATCGATGACCGGACAAGCGCCCATCCCCCATTTTTTCGCGATTATCTCTCAATTTTGAGTGGGCGCTTGTCCGGTATTTTACGGTAGTATAGAAAATTCCTTTTTTGTGAGGGAAGGTTTATGCAGACTGGTAGATGTGGGAGTGCGAGACGGAGAGCACGTCGTTGCCGGCGGGACATCTTCGTTTCCCCTTAGAGACTGGGAATGCACTTCCTTGCTCAAGCATACGCGAGTCTTCAACCGGTTCCAAGACCGGTGCTCGAGACAAATATTTGAAGCGAGTCGTTCTATCGGCGGGATCTTTACGAAAAAAAGGTCTTTGTATTCTATCCTCAATCTCTTTGTTTACAACACTCTGCTTTCTGCCTTTCCCTGCACTCACTACTCAATTCAATAGGGCTCGCAACTCTCTCGGTAAAGGTTACTTCTAATTACCTTTCGTGCATTCCCGCATTATTAGCAGCACCGCATCTTCTTCTTTTTTGCGGCGCAATGAGTAGGTTCCTTCTCTCTCTTCCTCGCGTCCACTAAGACTCGGGCCATTGGCTGACACCTCGTCCAATCCCCACTCCTCGACGTTTGCCATGAAAACGGGGGCAGTGGCGTTCGAACTTAGCTCCTCCGCACGAGAGATGCGTGCGCTACCAACTCGTCCATGCATGCGACACTATCTCCTAAACGGCACTACACATTATTATAGTGGTTGGTACAAACTGTTACTTTTATTCTTCAAAATAATTTTACTGCTTTAGAAAAGAAATAAAGGGATAAAAAGATTTTAAGCGTCTTTTCAAATAGAATTTGACTCGCACCTTAAAAGACTTTGTATGGCCGAAAACGGCGTCTTCTTTTTGAGATTCCGCAGCAACGTCCCCCATCGTTTTGTTGTCGTTCGCAACGTTTTCAAAAATTTGCTCTCCGTGATTCCTCGAACCAAAATGTGCGTTTCTGGAACCGTTCCGACAGAGTCGTGAACCAGCTGCACGGCCGGCCGGCCGGCCACCTCGTTGCGCCCAGATTCGCCGGACGAGCGGCAGACCGTCGGACGCGACGGGTCGCCAAGATCGACGAGACTGCACGTCTGCGGATACTGCGACCGGCGGGACGGCAGCTGGCTCGCGTTCCGCAACCGCTCAAACAACGAGTTTGATGAGGATCAACCGCGGCGGCATCTCCGGTTTGGTGAGCTAGCCGGATGCAGCGTTCCTCGTCATGGCCGTTGTCGGTGCGGTCCCCGCATCGCAGAGACCAAAAAATTCGGGAGGTCTGGCGATTCCTTATGGTGCATCCCGAAATCTTCCCTAGCCTCGCCGCAATTTGTTCGAGCACGACGCAAATTGCACGCTACACGTTGGCTCCCGCAATAACGCCCAATGAGCCGAGTGCTTCGCCCTCCACGCAGTCACCGATCCAAATGACGGTTGCTCGGCAGCGCGAACGAGTCCACGCGTCGAGATAACTATCGTTTCGGAGCGTCGGGGCCACCCTCTTGCAACTGGTCCGTCGACGAGCCGCCTCCGAGCGCTTCTTTCCCAGCACACCCGTCCCGTCTGTCGTGCAGTCTTAAACTCTCGCACCCGGGGACCCTCATTGTCGTCGTCGTTCGCAGTCGTCGTTCCGCAAGACAGGTCCCGGGGTCCTTTCGAGGTGCCGCGAACGTCTCGGTTAGGTGCGCTTTCTCCGCGACGAGCCTCCGTACAATTGCGGGCCACTCGGTCGAGATCCGAACCCATGGCACCTCGGAGACGCCGAGGGGGCCGGGGAAAACGAGCAAGACTGGAAGCGGCGGAGAAGCGGCCTCACCTCGAGCTGCACCAGGTACTGGATGAGCACGAGCAGGGCGGGCAGGTCCGGGCTCGAGTAGGACGTCAGGCTCGGGGTGCACTGGGTCAGGAAGGCCGACTCCACCGAGCCCACGCCCGCAATCACGTCCCGCGGCAGGCCCGCTTCGTCCCCCCGCAGCAGCGAGTGGCACTGGACCCGGGGGGCGCTGGGGCACGGACAAACTCAGGGCCCTCCCCCTTTCGCCGCCCAGCCAAACTTTCTGCAACCTCGCCTAATCGAACGCTTCGGGCATTTTGCGCCAAACCGACGCCTTTTCGCTAATTCCTGCCCCTAATGAATTCTTCGCTTATGGACTGAGACTCGAAATACCGAGGAAGCGGAGGAGCATTTCACTGCCCAAACGTTTCACGATTTGACTACGGCGCACGGTGCCGCAGCAAGGACACGACGTTGCGCGCAAAAGTGCCAATGACGCTAGTTCCATCTCGTTCGAAGGGATAAAAAGGTGAACGTGAAACTATATTCTGGCCCCTGTATTCCTATAAGGCAGTTTCGCGCGATGCACTTCGGGCACAAAGTCTAGCCGCATGGCGTGTCGCCAAACTTTCGAGGACATTCGTCTATTTGCGGAGGCGGCATTTTCGGCTCGAGTTCGTTTACGTCCCCACTGACCGAGCCGGCACGGATGCTCGGGAACGTAAGAGAGCGCCGGCCGGCGCTCAATTTTTATACGTACCCGACTTTATTGGGCTTAAGACGAGCCTGCAATGGACGACCCATATGTGGCCAAACTGGGCCCCGGTAGATGCTGCCGGAGAGACTCCCAAAGAAAAAAGCCGAATAAGGGCGATAGTGTGCGGCCCAAATACATCCCCCATCGTACTTACCGAGTTATGGCATCGACGAAACCACATTCGTGCGCCGCCATAAATGACGCCACATACCAATGATCCGCATACGAACTGAAGGGGAAAATCGTGGAAGCCGTTCATCGACACACTGCAAGCGGCATACCGAAGGTGAAAAGACCTTTCGTGAAACTGCCCTACAGGGTCTTTAGACTGGCACAATGGTGCCAAAAAAATTTGGACACGTTCTATGCAGATGCTGCAATTCAATCTACCGGTAATCCAAGAAAAGTATGTCTAGATCAATCTGATCAACTCAGAGGCACAAAATATGTTGGGAATGAGCTGGACACACGTTGTTCCCACCTCGTTAGTGCATCACATGACAACCCCAATGTCACATTACACAGCGACCTTAGGCGCCACGAGACACCCAAAACTTGATGTCAAGTCAAGTGACGTCGCAAGTTTTACGCTAAATCTAGCGGGGAACGTAAACGATGCCCCTTTGGGGACAGTACATATTGCTCGTATGACCTCGACCTACGTGGCAATTGAGTGCGGCGCGTCGCTTTTCTTACAAGACCCAGCCCCAGAACTCGTTCTGCGTTAAAATTCGGGCCCCAACCCTTCGGCTTCTTCGCCAACGTACGACCACACCAGCCGCGTGTCGAGGCCTCGGAAACCCGTCCCTCCTCCAACGAAATCCCCTCCCTCGTTTTCACGATCCCCGATGGACCTTTCGCTAGATTACCCGAGCAAAGAGGAGCACACCGCGAGCGTGGTTACGTGCGTTATGCGTGCCAGTGGCTCAAATTTCCCGAACCGCAAACCCGAAACGAATGTGCACGCGCGTCCCTCGACTCCTTCTTAGGGTAATTCTCTCGCAACCTTCGGCGCAAGGCGAGCAATCGCGTTCCCGGCATCCGTGCCCGGGCCGCCCGGCCAAACCCACCTCCTGGGGGTGGCCGTCCCGGCCGGGGGCTGCTCCGAGAGGCAGGTCCGCCAGGGGCCGCCCACGTCCCCCAGGGCAGAGAGCTTCTCCAGGTTTGCCGAGACGTGGACCGTCACATTCTCTGGCCGGCTCAGGTGTGCCTTCAGCGCCTTCAGCTTCTCCACCACCTGCGCGGACCGCCGAGCGGTTCCCGGGAAGGTCGTTCGACCGAGTCTCCCCAAACCCCCTGCGGACGTTTCGAGGGAGTCCCTGCAGATTTTCTGGGTCCAAAAGCCTAGAATGTCCCACTTGTGGAGGACTCGGAAACCACATACGTAAAATCATAATTAAACGTTTGCCAACGGCGAGGAGATAAACGCCGAAAAATATTGGGGACGCAAAGAGAAAAGTTTATCGTAATTATCGACGCGAGAACCGATGCGGCATATCGGGCGGCTAACGTTATTTGCAAAAATGTTCCAAAAACCGGGATTTGTGATTACAAAGCAAATACCTCCGACATGTATAACAATGTCAACAATTTGTGAGTAGACGTTTTGTCCCCATGTGAGACATCATCGGTGCACCCTAGGAACAACTAGCTCCCAGCAACCAAATGCTTTGTCCTTCTCTTCTACTCATAAACTGTTGACATTGTTAGGTTAGTCGGAGCTATTTGCTTCGTAACTGATGTCATTTTCGCATCCAACAAATAACAGGAGTGGGCAATGTTTGAAATTTTTTAACCTTCTACCCAAGTATATTTTTGATGTACTTATATAACCCCGCCATTCTACGAGTATTAGGGAATACCTTATCGCCCAAACAAGAAATGCATACTATAGGCATTCTTTCGATACGGTAGTTGGTTCGAAATTATGAGTTTCGGAGCGAAAAGAACACCCGCTGACGCACCGGTGAGCCGATTTCAGACAGGAATCGCGCATCACCGAAGAGTTACAATTACTGCCATCCGACGGAATCGTTCTGCCTGGTCACTCCCGTTTCTCGTTGCTCCAACGGTCCTGCGAAACTTTGTTGGGTCGCACCTCGGAGACACACCCATCGTCCCCGCTCCAGTCGCCCGCCGTCGTACGAAACGCCCTTCTTGACAAGGACCCTTTGGACATTTGCACACAACCGGCAGTGACCGCTTATGACCAGAGAATGCATCTGCGTTCCTAATCGGGGAGCCTCCAAACACTCAAGATCTGCGCATGTTTCCTCATTCTTTCGCCGTCGGCTCGAAATAATTCCGACGGCCTTACGAGCGCCCATTTGTCGTACGTAGATCCAATCTCGGAAATAATTTGAAACCTTCGGTCCGGTCGTATGCAGCTCGCGAGTGTTTCTGGACCGTCGGACAGATCTCTCGCCGGTTTCCAGCGGTCTCGACAGCCGCACTCCGACGCAAAGGCGCAAACCACGCAAGGAGGGGCCTCACCTGTGCCGGTTGGGTCCCCAGGCGCTCAAGCAGGTGGCCGAGGAAGGCCCGCTGGCGCAGCATGCTGCCGGCTGCCTGGTTGCTTCGGGGTTGGAAGCAGAGCGCCCGCACCACCGTGCCGGCCACCTTCATGCCCGAGCGCCTCTTCTTCACCACATCCTTGACCATCTTGCTGGCCACCACCTGGATCCGGTCCGGCTCAAACTCCAGGCCCAGCAGCAGGTCCCGGACCCACTGCACCCCTCGGAAGTACTTCTCCCGGTCCAGCTGCAACGAGACATCCGTCAGAGCGCTCTCGGCGCCCGTCGACTCGGATGCCTCTTTCCACGCACGAGGAACATCCAGCAATCTCTTAGGCAGTAACCGACGGCCGCAAGATCTTCTTCGTAAAAAACCGGCGGACTTCTGACCAGCGCGGAAAATGCCAGGCGACCGTCGCGCGAACTGAAGAACTGACTCGATTGTTCGCTCCGGCGGCTGTCTCGTCGGGGCTCGGCACCACGCCGCCGCCGCAATCCATCGAGCGCAGGGCAGACCGACCCGCTTGCCCGAGATTTGTCGTCGACTACAGCATGGCACAAAAGCTACCGAGGCCAAATTGCGCCAAGTGAGACAAATTTGAAACAATCAAGAACAGCGATGTAATGAAAGTTCTAAAAGTTATAACTGGCATAAAATACAACTTTTCTTAAGATAATCTAAAATGCGGTTGAACGATACAAAATGCTCGTCACCGAGCAGGAACATGGGGTGAAGTGAAAGATGTTTCCTAAAAAGCTCTGGAAAGCACGATCGACGTATATCGCGATCAAAACTACACCACCGCAAGATACGCGAGAGAGTCAGAAGTTCCCCGCAATGGTCAAGCAGCTTTGTCCTCGCCACAGAGAAGGTTTCGGTACGTCGAGCGAGAAGGACCGATTCTCGGGCGGCAAAGGAGAACTTCAGGTTGACAATCTCTATAAACGGAGCTCCCCCGAATTCCCAAAATAAGTTAAATAATGTCAGGCTTTTTTTTCTTTTTTGAGATCTTATATTGGGTGGGGTTAAAAATTGATTTCTTTAACAGTGGCTCGAAATACTGCTGGGGTGAGCCAAAGGACGCTTTTACAAAAAATCTTTCGTGGATGCAGTCAACTTATCTGCTTCATTTCCTCCAGTGCCCAGATGGGTCGGCACGCGGCAAAACTCGATTAGCTGGAAAGCTCCATTTAGTTTGACAGGTAGAAGCTGTGCTATACTCCGTCGCAGGATAACTCGGCGAACTGCGGAGGCCAGAGCCCCGCGACCCAATCAGAGCATCTGAGCGAGGCACGTGACCCGACGTCAAGGGAGTATTTGTCACCATACCAAATGCGAGGCCCGGAGGAACCGGCTGTCGTCTGCTAGCCATGAGTCGTCCGCTCCAAAACCAACCAATTTCGGATGAACGTCCGCTGCAGCAACATATCCGTCCGCTAGAATAGCGAGCACTTCGGGAACAGTTCACGAGACAACCATATGCTCAATTTAGATGCAGATCTGCAACGGGTGCTAACACCAGGGCACAGTGCAATGTTCTGAGTGGAAACAGCCTATTCCATGGCCGCGATCACCGGCGATTGCCAACGGCCACGGTGCTGCGAGGCAAAAAATATTGAGCAGATACGGATGTGGCGTCGCTTCTTTCGATTTAAATATAATTGAAACTCGCGAATTTGCGATTATTTATTCTTCCTATCTTCTCGTTATATATGGAATCGCGCGAGTTCAATTGACGTTACAAGAAAAAGAAGCCTAGAACTACTTTATGCTGCAGAGGGCTCCGTTGCTGCGGCAGTAACGAGGCCACACAGAGTTATCACGTGCCTTGCTCTGGTGCCCCGATTGGGTCACAGGGGCCGCAGCCTCTACAGTTTGCCAAGTTATCGTAAAACGGAGTACAGTCAAACCCGCATATATACAGAACTCGCGAAAAAACGGGAATTAGTTCCATGTATCGTGTAATTCGATATAACAGTTTTAATGCATTTGACTCTCGAGAATCCACTTTCTGCTGACATATTACACGATGAAGTAGTCTTGCATCTTCCGCTGCTTTTTCTTCATTGCATCCGGAATAACAATATTTTCTACGCTATCGACGGACTCGAAAATGCCGAGGCCGTTGCCTTCTCTATTCGCGCATTAGCGACGAGAGTACGGAGCACGTCCGAGCAGGAGCACCTTCTCCTGCAGAGCGCCGCTTTGCTCTGCAAGTTGGCTTTCCCCTACAGCCGGCGGCCGCGTGGGGGAAAGCCAGCTACCAGAGCAAGCTGGCTTTTTAGAGCGCAGCTCTTGGGCGCCCGTCTCTGGCTTGAGCGGCGTCGCCGTCGGCGTAATCGCGCGGTGCATTATGAGTAAATTTCCCCGCTAAATCTAGCGGAAAATTTTCCCCGCTAAATCTAGCGGAAAAATTTCCCCGCTAAATCTAGCGGAAAAATTTCTCTGGGGGGTCACGCGACCCCCCGCCGAGGTCACGTGACACCCCCAGGTCCCGTGACCCCCCCAAGGTCACGTGACCTTCAGTACCCTTCCCTCCTCTTCCTCCTGAAGAGCTGCGCTCTAATTTGGCGTTACAGGGAGTTGTAAACGGCTTTCATTTTTTCTGCGTCAATCACCCGAAGAAAAAGCAATATTTTCCTTTACGGACGGAGCGGTGAGAGGGAGCACGAAGCGCCTTCTCCCCGCTCCGTCCGCGAAAAATATTTTTCTTTTTTTCTTCTGGGCGATCGCGGCCGCCTTAAAGAAAAAAAAAAAAAAACAGCCAGCCTGCTCTGCAAGCTGGCTTTCCCCCAATACGGCGCGCGCTGGGGGAAAGCCAGCTTGCAGAGCAAAATGGCGCTCTTGGCAGTTCGATATATCGGTAGCGGCTGCTATTTTTGTTCGATGTAACCGTAGTTTTTGCTATAGATTATCACTGTAACATTACTGTGCACAAAACTTGTTTGATATAAGTGATAATTCGATGTAAACGGGTTCGATATAGTCGGGTTTGACTGTTAGATTCTTTGTAAGAGAGGACCAGAAGAGCACTTTGAGAATCAGCAAATATACCGTAATCGATTTTTTAATATAATTCTCCATGTCGTACAGCGCAATCCGCCTGTAAGGATCGTAGCTTCATTCCATTTACCTGCATCTTTTGCACCGGTGCAGAAAAGTGTAGGGCAATGTAGCATCCGGAATGTGTATCGAGATACGACCGGAAGTACACCACCCCACACTCGTCTGCACCGGAACAGGAGGCGCACATCAATAGAACGAAGCTAATGAGAAAACCAGAAAATTCAATCGTTACAACCGATTATCGTTGTATCTAGGCTAGAAACTGATCGTTTCTAGTTTAGAAACTCTTGAAACTGATTGTTATAAGTTAGTACTTCATCATAGGTGGACTGCACTGTATTGGCGACAAGAGCGATCAAAAGCGTCGCTGTGGTCGGCCCACCACAATTGGCCGCATGCTGACTATGACGTCAGCAAAGGATTTCTCATCGACGGAAATAAGAGGAGTGTAAGAACTTCAATTTTGACGGTGTTGACAGTGTTGCTTTGAGGGCGCTATGATTTCAGGCTTCCACCATGCCCATTACAAACACCATCGAACTTGTTCTTCGCAAGGTAATGACGTCATGAAAGGTAACCGAACGAGGGCGCCACCGAAACATCTCGCCGCTAATAGCCATTAAATATATTGCGCTGCTCAGTAGTAAAAGAAATGTCAACAGGGCTAAGCTTTCTAGCTATATTTTGAGGCAAGCAGAATGCACGGCACAACTTACAAAGGATGCAGTTTTTGCTCCTTCTGTATAACCCTGGGTATGACCTCTATACTTCGGCTCCAAAGAGGAAAACTCTTTGTAAAGGACTTGAGGAGAAACAACCTTCTCACTGCACTTTGTGAGAGTCACAAAATTTTGCCATTTCATTCCAAGGGGGAACCCTTCCGACAGTTTGGAACAAAGTAGCACCATCTACATCGCAAACGGGAAGGTTCAAAGAGCTACAAATGCTTGAAAGCTGTAAGCTTATGACGTCCAGGGCTCATTTTCAAAAACCTAGAAAACCGAGGAGTTTGAAGGAGACTACAAGCAGAATGTTTCGGAACAGGATACAGCTTGTAACTGTAACAAAGGCTTATAGGTATTGCCTTTGCCTCTCGAGAGACGTTCAATGTGTATCCACATGCCAGCCTAAGAAAGGGGATGTACGAAAAGCCCCCGTGGTGATGGACAACAGCTTCAGTGTAGAAGGCTGTGCCAATCCACACGCATCTGCAGCATTGTCTAGGTGGGATCAAACTAACGAGTTATACAACCGTACAAGGCATTGCCCGTTGGGCCCCCAGGCCATATGGGACAGTATATTCCGATGATCTCTGGCATTTCCTTTTTAGTTCCCCCAAACGAGATTTAAAAGTTTGTTGCAAAGAAACTGGCACGCAGTTTTTTTCTGGAAAAAATTTGAAACCTTTTCATTTGCCCACTCGCTCATCAGGTTCATTGCGAGCTGCAGTTGTCACTCGCAACTAGAAAGATTACAGGGGGGAAAAGATGTTTGCATTTCATCCGAATAAAGGGAAAAAGCAACGGATTTCCGGGAACTATTTATCTTAACTACAAACAAGGTAGCACTCCATGCCTGAGGAACCCAATTCTTTCGTCTCAAAATGTGCGTCAATCTGGAGCCGAACCTTAAAAAGTTGAGCTTACATCGGAGCACACGGCCACGCACTCCAGTCACAGAGGTCCCGAAGGATTTCGTGCCTTCGTGTCGTAGGCCCACTGGTAAAAAAAATGCTTCAAAATTTATTTTTATGCGTGGAGCATTTTTCCTTTTAGAGGAATCTTTCCACTTCCTGGTGGAGTCGTTGGGGGCAGAAAGAGGACTCTGATCCCGAGAGTCCACGGGCACCTCAGTTGCAGCGGTCGGTGGACTCTTAGAGGTCGGGGGCTCAGAGAGCCCCTCTGGGCCAGACGCACGGGGAGGCTGGTCCCGAGAGGGCAAGACAGCGGGCAGCGCCATCCTCTGCTCCAACCAGCATCCTCCCCATGGCCGAGAGGGACTAGGATGGGAGACGCGGATCGTATGGTGCCATAAACGAGTCAACATAATATAATAATTTATTTTCCTTTTTTTACGAAGGAGGGAGATAGGGCAAAAAGCTGCGTGGCTTGCAGCTTGACGAGGCCCCACTCCGTGTAGCAAAGCAGCAGAGACATTACAAACAGGACACGCAAAAAACA